CTGAGCTCCTTGGCATCTGAGCATGGATATAAAGTCATCAGGTAGATTTCAGTGGTAATGTTTTTCACATCTACTAATTATTAAGGAGCAAATTTAATACTTTGAAGAATTATTATACTTTAAAAAAATTTTTTTTAATTTAAAATTTTTTTACACCCACTTCCCAGAGAGCACCCTCCCATAGCCTTCTTCCCCCCACTAGAGCCCTTATACTCTGATATCCCTGCTACTGTCTGCTGTGTTGTCGGCACCCCCAGCCATTCCCCACTACTTGCCCTTCTGGTGAATCTAGTCAGCCTATCTAGAGGTCTTTGTTTTAGGAGGGTCAGCTGTTCCTCATCTAGCGATAATCAATTGTCAATATTCTTTTGGATAAGATTGGGGTCTGCTGTTCATTTTCCCAGTTCTATGCTGGGTTACTGTCTGGGAATCCCTTTGGCCACCCTGGCCAACAACTCAAAAGAAGGTATCAACTGTCTAGCATTGTTGCTTGTTATGTAGCCTTTAGCTATACATATGGACTCTTAAGAAATTATATTGGCCCCTTTAATCTTTGGTTATACTTTCCTTTTGGGTGTTTAAGGCCATACAGTTGGCCCAGATAAACCAATTTATTTTCACTCTTAAGGTCGTTTGAGGATCTGTTCCTCAGGGGTCACATGGGCTTGGGAGGAGCCCCTGGCTCCTTTCTTTTACCAGTTCTACCTATATGAAGATAAGTCAAAGGTCCTGCTCGACCATGGTTGGCTTCGCTTGGAAGCATGGAGGAAATGATTCCTCTGTGTTGACCCTCCTCTTTGTAGACTGGACACTGGTTCAAGTCCATCTGGTGGGGTGTCCTCAGCCTCCTTGATCAAGAGGACAGGTGACCCACCACCATTATAGGACATTTTGAGAGATGCTCATAGTCCCCTGGAACTAGTCGACCTAGGAGGGCAAGGACCAAAAAGCATCCTTTATGTCCCTCTGACCAAATTATTATAGACCTCAAAGTATGTGTGTTAAACACCCAAGAAGGTTAGTTCCACCAGTCTGGTACTTTTAATTACTGTGTGTCATGTAGATAAATCTTGGGCAAAGACCAGTTGTTCTCAGATAAACCTTACCTAGACATATATTTCTTGATCTGCTATGTATAATTTGTCAGTAGGGTGTAGGAGTAATATGGTTCCCTCTGGTTTTCAAAACTAGCTAGGCATTATTTGTCTCTCACATTGTCTCACCCCTCCATCATTGTTTTCCCACTTAAGGTGCCCCCATTTCCCCCCTTCTCCTATGGTCCTACCTCCTTTGAGCTCCTTCTTTCCGTTTATTCCTTAGTCCCCTAGGTTCCTTGTATACCCTTCCCTCCCCCATCCCTTAAACTAACCCTCCTTTTTTTTTTTAAAGGAAAATACTTTTATTGGTTTGAGGATTTCACACATTGTATTTGATCATATTCAGATCCCCCCTCCATTTTGACCTCTTTCTACTCCCCCTTGACTTTATGGCCTTTATTATTATTTGTCTTTTTCTAAGACTTAGTGAGTCTAATCTGTTTCTTTTTAATTTTTTATATTTGATATTTTTATTTATTTTTGTAATTTTGAGACAGGGTCTCCCTGCAGCCCCAGCTGGCCCAGAACTCACTGTGTAGACCAGGCTGCCCTCCATCTCAGAGATCCACCTGCCTCTGCCTCCTGAATGTTGGGATTAAAGGCGTGCACCACCATGTCCAGCTTTATTATTTTTATTTTTATGTGTATGAGTGTATTGCTTGCATGTTAGTGCACCTGTGTTATGCGCTGCCCGTAGAGGTGAGAAGAGGGCATCAGATCCCCTGGAACTGGAGTTAGAACAGTCATTAGCTGGCATGGGGGTGCTGGGAATTGAACCCAGGTCCTTTGCAAGAGCAGAGTCTTAACCACTGAGCCATTTCCCCAGCCCTGTAATCTTGTTTCTTAAATGCTCTTGGGTGTGGGTCTAGTCTTTGGAGTCTGGTCAACCTACCAGGCATCACATCAGTAAGAAAAATCGACCCTTCTCTCCCAGCATCTATCAGTTGCCAACAGATCCTCAGCTAGGGCGGGGGCTTCTTGCTTGTCTCTCCCATCCATGCTGGGCCCCTGTTTTGCTTAGGTTTGCACAGGTCTTGTGCATGTTGTGGCTTCATATATGCCATGTACCCTATGGTGTCCAGGCAGCACAGTTTCCTTGTATTCATTTACCATCTCTGGCTCTTACAATCTTCCTGCCCCCTCTTCCACAATGATCCCCGAGCCTTGAGAGGAGAGGGTACAACATAGGTGTCCCATTTAAGCTTGAGTAGTCCCCAGTCTCATTCTCTGCGTGTTGACCAGTTGTGACTCTGAATCACTATCTGCTGCAAGAAGCAGCTTCTCTGGTGAAGGTTGAGAAGTTAATCTATGGGTATAACAATAAGTTGTCATGAGTAGTTTAATATTATGTCTGTTTAGCAGAATGATAAATGATAGGTTCTCTCCTATGGCCTGTGAGCTGTCTAGCCTCTTGGCCATGATAACAGTATCAGGTACAGACTCCCATCTTGTGAAGTGGGTGTTAAATCCAACTAGAACGTGGTTGTATGCATAGCACCTCCTAATACTATGATAGCTAGCAAGCAGAGACAAACCTTCAAGGTTAGTACCCCTTGATTTCTCCTCGTTTGTTCTGCAACTCAGGTATGTAATGTGTTCAGCAGAAGGCTCTGACTGTCAGGTTCTGGTGGGTGACCAAGTGCAGTGGCAGTGGCCAGTATTGTTTGAAGGTCTGTGGCATCTCTGGTCAGCAACTCCAAAAAAGGGAGTCCATTCCTGGCATTGGGCTTTGCATTTGCTAGCCAGTGGTGTCTATTAACGCCATTGAACCCCTGTTATAGAGTAACTGTATTTAAACTATTTTTATATTGTATATGGATGGAGCTGGAAACAGTCATTGTACATGAGGTAACCCAGTCCAGAAAGACAAACATTGTATGTTCTCTTAAGAGTGGATGCTAGTTTTGAATCTTTAGATAGGTATGTTTCAATTGGAAAATCTTTACAAGATCAGGACACTAGTAAGAGGCCATGGCTGGGGTGGGTGGTGGGCGGTGGGAGGTGAGTTGGGGGGGTTTGTGAGTTAGTTAGAGGGGAGATAGAATGCAGTGATAAAAGTGGGAAAGAGGGCTAACACAGTTTTAATGGAATGGAGAATGGGATGTTAGGACAGAAGGAGTAAGAGGAGGGATAACTAACACTAAAGACCTTTTGAAAGTCATATAGAAACCTATTAAAGGTCTTTCTCCTTTAAAATTTATTTCTCTTCTCGATACTGCCATACGAGGCCAAGTTTTTAATGCATAGGCCTATACGGAACATTTCCCATCCAAATTATAGTAACTCCTCAGAGAGGGACCAAGAAAGACAGAACAAAGACAAGTTTCATATTCCAGGGGATTTTTTTTCATACATATACCCTCAGTTCCCAGCAGCCTACACAGGTCAAGACATTGGAAGGGGGCTGACATTGCATTACTTAAGTTTTTACCACCCACTGCAAACTTGCACACTATCCTTAGACTTGGCCTTTGCCTTGAGCCTTTAGGCTGCCTTCCCTAGTATACCTAGCCAGATTCTAGGAGGGGAAATACATGAACAACTGGAAAGCCAATGGCTACAGATGTTCAGGCAGGGCAGTACAGACCACACCTATGTTCAGGAAAGAATTAGGTACTGACTGAGCAGAAACTACCAAGCTCTGGGAGTCAGTTACCTCCTTTAACCCTCAATTCATTCCTGCCAGGAAAGGATTAGGCTTGGAAAGTTACCAGAATGTGTTCAAGGCAAAGTTA